AAATTATAAATTAATTGGTCACAATTAGAAATTTTATAGATTACAATTTATTCATCATCACAAATCTATCAAATTAATAAGTCACCTATTATTCATTGGTCACAAATAACAAATTTTATAGTCACAATTCAACAATTTTATAGGTCACAATTTATTCATTGGTTACAAATCAAAAATTTATACGTCTGAATTTATTCATCGGTCACAAAATTGTCAAATTAATAAGTCACATATTATTCATTGGTCACGAATTACAAATTTTATTGGTCACAACTCATTTTAAGGTCACAATTCAAAATCTAATCAGTCACAAATAAAAAATTTATACGTCACAATTTTTTTATCGATCACAAATCACAAATATTATAAGTCATGACTTATTAGACAGTCACAAATTATCAAATTATCGGTCATAAATTAACAATTTTTTAGGTAACACCTTATTTTTTGGCCACAATTTATCTTTTTCATTGGTCACACATTGTTTATTTAACACAGATTAATAAATTTAAATGTCACAAACAACCAAATAATCTGTGACCATCACCTCACTACTGCCACCAACAGCATGGTGGCCGAAGCCACCACCACCACCACCTTCCAACAGCAAGTCATCATCTCAAATACCGTAGCTAACATCATCATCACCACCACCACTACCTACCCACAACCACTGCACCACCACCACTCCACTCTAAGCGGTGTCACTACCATTATCAACACCAACAACACCTCCATCACCATGACATCATCGCCATCCAGTCATCCTCACACCGACACAAGAAAAAAGAAAAAGAAAAACATAATGCCCCTCAGATCGGGACGTACAACGTCGTGCACGGCTGATCAACCACCACGCACAGCGCTTCCAAAGACCTTCCACTTTTAACACTCCCATACTTTAGTCCCCAATTTCACTTTTTTGTTTGCTTTTAGTCACTTTCTTTTCTTTTGCATTGTTCTCCTTCAATTTGTGGATTTTTACTTATCACATGTGGGAGGCACTTAGGCATAGGCTAGGATGAGGCATTACATGGCGGAAGGGCTATTGAACAGCTAATATGAGGCCTCTACACTTTTAAAAAAACATGGTTGTAGAGTTAGAGTATTGGTACAAGGATGAATCCTTTGAAAATAGATGAA